TCATGCCTCATAGTGGGGCTGGCCATGTGAACTGGCTGCTCTAATTGGGGTCATCGTCCTCAAGGCCTGGTGGGCCAGGATGTGCTCCAATCTCTCCTCCTCCCCCATCATCTGCTTCTGTGTGCTCCGATCAGATGTTTGTTTTGTTTTAAGAACAAGTTGTTTATCTGTCAGTGTAGTCCACAGATGGAGGCCTGGGTGGCACCAATGGTTACTGCATTTGGCTGCTAATCCAAAGTTTGGAGGTTTGGGTTCACCTAGAAGGCCCAGCAATCTACTTTTAAAATTTTCATTACTGAAACACGAGGAAGCTCAGTTTTGCTTAAGTACGGGCACAGCAATCTTTTCTGCAGAGTCAGAGTATAAATATTTCAGGTTTGGTGGGTCATATAAGAAACTTCAAAAACAGACCACAAGATTGGACTTGCTGGGCTATAGTTTCCTATATAGTATGAGGGGGTACCCTAAAATAACCAGATTTTCCCCCCAAAGCTATGTATTTAAATTATTTTTATAAAACAACCTTATCACCTTCAAAGTACTCGCCATTACACGTGATACACAAGTCAAATCTACAATTCCTTTCTTGGAAACATTTTCAAACTCATTTGTTTGGATGGCTGAGGGCAGCTCCCTCATCTTTTTCTTCCTCTTACACGTTGTCAAATCGCTGTCCTTTCAAGTACCTCTTCATTTGTGGAAACAAAAAGAAGTCACCTGGAGGGTCAAGTGAGTAAGGTGTGTGGGGCAAGAGAGGCGTGCTGTTTTTTGCCCAAAACTGGCACAATGAGATGGTTGCAGGTGCAATGTCGTGTGGCAGGTCCCTGTCTGCCACACTTCAGGCCTTTTTTGTCGCACACTATTATGCTATTTTTTAAGAACCTCTAAATAGAAAGGTTAACAGTCTGACCTGGTGGAATGAACTCCATATACACTATCCCCTTCACATTACTTCTGGTTTTTTTGGGTACCCTCTTGTATATTCCTTGGCTTAGTATAGCAGAATAAGAATCATAGGTAGCAAATGTGCTTGACACATGGATGTATGTATGGATTGTGCTAAGAGTTGTATGAGCCCCCAATAAAATGATTAAGTAACATTTTTTTTTAAAAAAAGATTCACAGGTAGCACTTAATGAGTGCTCACTCTGAGAGGCAGCTTCAACCTCTTTACGATTATCATCTCATTTAATCAACCTGCATTCTATTATTATTCTCATTTTACAGAAAGCTGAGTTACAACCAGAAACTAATAATTTATATAATGTTATGTAAAATCTATTACTGCACAAAACTCTTTCCTTAAAATTAAACACATTCTATCTTTGTACTGTTTGTGTTGGCAGACTGTCTTCTATAACCATTGCTCATACATCCCGATTTTAAAACATATAAGGATAGATTTATAAATCCAAAGGAGCCCTGGTAGTGTAGGGGTTACACTTTAGGCTGCGATCTCCTTGATCAGTAGTTCGAAACCAACAGCAGCACTGAGAGAGAAAAACCGGACTTTCTATTCCTGTAAACAATTACAGTCTTGGAAACCCACAGTGGGCTGAGTCAGCAGTGACTGGATGGCAGTGAGCTGAGTATAATCCCCAAACCACCCCTGTGGGCACTGAGTATATAGAGGACACTATTCCTAAGTTCTTGTTGCTGTTCTATGCTGTCAAGTTGATTCAGTGACCCTACCTGACAGGGTAAAATGGCTCCACTATTTCCAAGACGGTAATATTTACAGAAGCAAATTGCCACATCTTTCCCCCCACCAAGTAGCTTTTAAGTTCATGTGAACTTCCGACCCTTCAGCTAGCAGATGCGTGCTTAACTTAACCACTGGGCCAGTTCCTTAGGCATACAGATCAATGGAACAGAATTCTGAGTCCAGAAATACATTTACCGTTATCTATGGTCAACTGATTTTCGACAAGGATGTCAAGTCAAATCAAAGGGGAAAGAGGAGTGTTTCCAACAAATGTTGGGACAACTAGATCTTTATATGAAAAAAGGTGAAGTAGGACTCATATACTTCATAGCACATATAAAAATTAACTCCCAATAGGTTAATGAACCTAAATATGGAACCAAAGTCATAAAACTACAAAAAGAAAATACAGGAATAAAGCCGAAAACTTTTCTCTTTTTGACAATGAATTCGTAGATATGAACCGAAAAGCTTAACCAACAGA